GATAGGCTTCTTGCGTTTACGAAGCTCATGTCTCATCTAGGAAGAGACACATTAAAAGATATACAAACAGGTAAATGTATGACCACAAACTCTGAAGACCTCAGACAAGCAGGATGAGTCGAAGGAGACTAGCAGGGCCAAGCGCACCTGCTGCGACAGGACAGAGGGGAACACTCTGAAGAGGGGCCCTGTAGGCTGCTCCCAAAGACTGAGAAGGAACCAGCTTTGTAAAAAGCATAGAAAGAGTGATTCCCAAAGAGAGAAACAGGATGGGTGAATCCCCAGAGGCAGGAAAGAATTTTGCATGTTTAATGAATTTAAGGTCCCTGATAAAGGGATTCGGAGAAGGGCAGAGGCCGTATTACATGGGGTCTGGGGAACCTGGCAAGAGGCCTGCTCCTCATCTGAAATGAGATGGGAAGGCATGACATGTTCCTGCCTCCAAACAGTATGGCTGACAAGTGTCATCTAGGACAATCGCCAATGCAGCAGGAGGACAAGGGAGCCTGGAGGCGCCCTGCCTTGGCCCCAGGGCTGGAGTCTGCCCTTTGGCCCACGGGTGAGGGTCTCCTTGTGCTGTAGCTGCTTCGTTCCCCTCAGGTCACTGGAAAGAGCTCTCTGTGATGGGACGAGGGGGTCCCGGGCCCATAGCCCGCCTCCCCTGCAACCTGCCTTAAGGACCTAGGGCTGGAGCAGCCGGGCCGACCACCAGCTGACCCAGGGCTGGGCTGGACTGGGATACAGTTCCTATTTCCCAGTGGCCCCCACATGGAGCACAAGCCCCCAGACCAGGGCCTTACGCACAGGGGACTCAGGAAATACCCACTGACTTTCTGCATTTTGCTTTTGGCTCAGGCTGGGACACAGAGCAACACCCCGGGACACCTTGTTTAGGTCCTTTCCAGAATCCCATTCCTGGTGGCACTTCAGCTGTGCGCCTCTATGGACATGAGAGTCATTCCTGGGCCTGTTCAGACTGTCAAGGGCGCTGTCCCCCCCTCAAAGCCACCATTCCTTGAGAGCCTGCAGAAAGCCCTCTGAGGGCTCAGAATCGAGACAAGCCCGACCCACACCTGATTAGTTTCCATAGTGTTACTGAAAATGCTTTTCTCTTTGCTTTGGAAGCTCAAAGCCAAACTCTTCTATGACCAACCAGCAAAGTCCCAAGGCCACATATACCTCATCTTTTCTTTTCATCTTTTTATCATTCAATCATCCAACAAATGTCTGAGGGCTGATTGTGAGCCTGGTACTTTTTTAGGTTCTGGGGAATCAACAGAGAATAAAACAAAATCCCGGGAGCTTACAGTCAGGGCGTGGCAGAGAGGCAATAAAACAACCTTATAAACAGACCAGGTCATAGGTTGGAAGGCAACATGCCATAGAAAACTATTAGGCAGGGAAGTGAGGTAGGGAGTGGGGCATGGGAGTTGGGTGGTTTGCTATTTAAAATGGAAGGGAGATGCCAGGAAAAGCCTCATCGAGGTGACGTTGAAGCCAGGACCTGGAGGAGGGGACGTGGGGGTGGTAAGAGGAAGAAGGTTCCAGGGAGAGAGAACACCATCAGAGGAGTGGGGACCCCGCGGGCTGAGCAGGTCATCATCCTAAGGAGTGGCTCCTCCCCCGAGTGACAGGAAGCATTCGCAGGGTCTGGAGAGGAGGACCAAGAATTTCTGGCTGACATGCTGGCAGCGTCTCTCTGACTTCGGTGTTGAACGTAGACTATGGGGGAAGAGGACAGGATGAGGAAACCAGGGTGGAGGCCACAGCAAGGGCCCAGGCAGCAGGTGAGGGTGGCTGGGGCCTCAGAGCCACAGTGGAGGTGATGGGAGGGGTTGGATTCGCGATGCATTTTGGAGGTAGAAACAACAGGATTTTTTCAAGGGCTCATGGGGGCTGTGAGAGACAAAGAGGAGTCAAGGATAACTCCCAGGTTTTGGCCTGAGCAACTGGAAGAATGGAGAAGTCCTTCTCCAAGATGGGAAGACTGGTCAGAACAGGTTGGTGGGGGAGGCGTGGCCCTGAGTTCCAGTTTGGCCCAGGTGAAGCCTGAGTTGCACGGTGATGGGAGGCAGGTGGGAGGGCATGCAGATCCACCCAGTGCTCAGGGGAAAAGCACAGGGGAGCCCCCAAGGGTGGATGCTACTCAGAGCCCGGAGGCCTCCGGTGATCACCAGGTGCCACAGACGGCAGAAAGGTGAGCCCTGGGCCGCCAATGGTTAGAAGTGGGAGGAGGCCCTGGGGGAATGCGCTTCCTGGATGCCACGTGGAAAGAGGGGGAAGGGAGAGTGGGGCACCAGCTGGGGCAAATTCTGCTGACGGAGGGAGGAGAATCACCACTGGCTTGGCAATGTGGAGGCCATTAACGACCCTGAGAAAGCAGTTTGGGTTGAGAGGTTAAGGCCAGAAGCCTAGTGGGAGCAGGTGGAAGAGGACAAGGAGACAGGACTGGAAACAGCAAGTTTGGGCAGCTCCTTCAGAAAGTTTTGCTGGTAAGGGAGCAGAAACTGGGGCACCAGCTGGAGGGAAAGGGGAATGAGAAAGGGTTTTTCTAAGACATGAAAAAATCTTAATTGCTTTTTAAAATTTTATTCATTTTTGAGTAATATATTCCCATGATCCCAAATATCTGATTCCAGAAGGTATTTGGTTAGAGAAAAACCTACCCCTGTCCCTTCCCCACACCTCTCAACCATTCAGTTTCTCGCCCTGAAGACAACCTATGTCATGGGTCACTTGTGTACGCTCCCAGAGTACTCACACACACATAAATTATTTTTATCCCTTTTTTACACAAATGATAACATCTCATACACACTGCTCTGTGCCCTGCATGTTTATACTTAACTATATCCTGATTATCATTCAATATCAATACACAAAGAGCATCCTCACCCTTTTTTCTGGCTTCATATTATTCCCTTTTATGATATACCAGCTACAGTTTTTTTATCCAGTCCTCCATTGATGGACAATCATTTGAGATTGGTTTTATTATCATCTCCATTTTACAGAGAGGCAATGAGGCACTTGGCTGCGGTTGCTCGGTGAGTGTGCTGCGGCGGGCGAACTCCATTCCCTTACCCACCCACATGACTCTCCTGGATTCATTTCCAACCCGCATTTCTCCCTCACCACTGTACTCTTAGCAATTATTTTGCTATTCTTTTGTTCATTCAAATAACACATATTTACAAGTCCTGACCATGTGCCAGGCACAGGGCTAGGCCTGGAGGATGTGGAGGGACATGAGAGAACCTCTGCCACTGAGGAGCTTACAGACTAAGTCTTTGTGTTGTCAGCCACCTCAAATCTTCCATGAAAAGACACAGAATTAACAAAGACGCCTGGTCCCTGTTTTTACTAATGAGGAAACCAAACGTGCCAGCAAATCACGTTGCAATCCTGTGAGCTGAATAACATAAAAGAAGCCTGGGAACCCCAAACTGAACTCTGCAAGGCCAGTCCCATCCCACCAGCCTGGCCCCCCTCCAGTTTCCGTCTCAGTGAAAGGCCCACCACCCAGCAGTAGCTAAAACCTTCAAGCACTGGCTGCTCCCACTTCCGTCCCCTGGCCACCCTTCCCCACGCTCCCTGGACTCTGTCCAACTTCTCCCTCCATGGCTGCCAGACCTGCCCAGGCCTTCTCTCACAGAGGCGACCCAGTAACTCCCTACTGGTCTTCTTGTCTCCACCCAGCCGCTTCCCATCCACTGTCCCTCCAGCTGATGTGTCATCTGTCACTTCCCGGTTCTAAACTTCTAAGACTTCCTTTTGCTGCCTTGGGACTGCGTCATGGCAGCTCGGCCCCGTGGTTAAAGCAGTGGGCTCTGGAGCCTGGATCTGAGCTCTAACACCTGTTGGCTGTGTGAGCATGAACGATCTACTTAACCTCTCTTTGCCTTAGATGTGGCAAAATGAGATGATGAGATAAAGGAGAATGATAAATGATAACATTAATAGACCATGACAATAACCCCTACCTTATACAGCTGTTCTGAGGATTAAAAGTTAATGAATATTATAGTGAAAGGCCCTTGTGACCTGGACCCTGCCTAGGTCTCCAATATCACCAGTTCTGTCTCTCCTATAAGCCAGCTGAAATACTTTTGATTCCCTGTGTGCATGAGATTCTTTCTCTGTCCTCTCCACAACTCTGCTCAGCTGAAGGTTGGCCCAGAGCCCAGGTTCTTCTCCACTGGATCTCTGACATCTGGGTACACAGTATATTGATGAATTAATGAATGAGAAAGTCATTGGGTTCTGATGGATGAATAGGAGTTCTCCAGGTAAAGAGGTGTTGGATGCAGGACTGTCTTCATTTTGGGGGTTGGAGGCTTCCAGGGCCTGAGGGACTGAAGTGAGGGAGGTTAGAGAGGACGCTGGTTTCAGTTCAGACCTTCCGTGTAGGCAAAGGATATTCATGAGGGGGAGGCTTTTGTGGCAGTGTGGAGGCTTCTCTCTCACTTGCAGGAGACCGAAGCCAGGAAGCTGGGGTGTGTGGCTAAGCTCAAGGGGAGCAACGGAAAGGCCTGCACCAGGGCAGTAGCAGTGGGAATGGAACAAAGAGGGAGGCGTTGAGAGAAATAATACAATCTCTTAAACACTTTTACTGAGATGTATACAATTATCAAAACTCATCCACTCAACACTTAAGATCTTTGCTAAATGGAGGTACAGAACATTATCGCCCCAGACATGTCCAGCCTCCTGGCGCCAGTCAACTCTCCCCGTCTCCAGAGAACCGAAGGGTCCAGGCACGTGGTGTGTGCGCTTTGAAAGGATCACTGCGGCTGCGTTTCAGAGCGCGGCCCCGCCAGGCAGGAGACCACGAGACGGGAGGGAGGGCGCCTAGCAACCAGAAGGCGTCGTCGGAGGTCTGACTGTGCGGCGCCCGCGGAACGGGAGGCCCCGCGCCCGCCCACCAGGCCCCGCCCCACGCCGCTCGCGCAGGAGCCGGAGGCCCCGCCCGCGTCGGGGCGGGAAGAGGCTTCTTATTGGTCGTTTTTCCGGAAGCGACGGGATTCGGAATCTTGCTCCAAATGGGGCAGCAGCCGGCCGGTTGTGGGTGAGCGGTGCGTGGCGCGGCGCGTGGCGGCGGCGGTGCGCAACTCAAGCTAGATTGGGACCACCCCCCACCCCCGCCCCGCGAGCTGAGCCTCAGTTTCCTCCCTTTGCAGTAGCGGAGCATTTCCCGCCCGGGGCCCCTTAGGCCCAACCGCGCAGCCCCGTTGCTGGCCTGGGGGTGCTCACGATTGGAACGTGACGGAGGGGGCTCTGGGATCCCCACCGCCCCAGCCCTGTGCGTGACTGACCCTCCCGTTCTCAGGGACCCCAGCTCAGGCCGGGATGTTCGTCCTGGTGGAGATGGTGGACACTGTGCGGATACCTCCGTGGCAGTTTGAGAGGAAACTCAACGACTCTATTGCGGAAGAGCTTAACAAGAAGTTGGCCAATAAGGTACTGGGCCCAAGGGGTTGTGGGCAAGCCTCGGCACAGAGGGCCCAGCACTGACCACTGGCCGCTGCAGGCCTGGCCTCGGTGTGCCAAGCCTTGGGCAAGTAGAACTCGGTTTCTTCACCTGTACATGGGATAGGAGTAATCCTTACCCCACGAGGATGTTGGAGGGATTCAAACTGGGTTTGAAAAAGGCTTTTGTAACTGGGAAGCGTTGGATTCCACACTTCAAAATTACTTTGCCGTCTTGGGCAAGTCATTTACCTGCTCTGGCCTCAGTTTCCCTTTGTACAGTGGAAATAATTGCTGTCGAACCATGCATTATTTTTGTGAAGATGGACAATAGTTTGGAGTTACCCATCAGGAGGTTTATCCATTTATTCCTGCGGGAAAAGTATTTGTGCTCCTTCCATGTGCCAGGCCTGCATGCGTTAGTGCCAGCTTGTGCTTCCGGGCTTCCCACTGTCATTTCTGCAGAAACCTTCCACTCTACATCATATCTTCTTGGCACTTACCACACTTTATTTTCTTATTTGTTTATTTGTTTACGGTTTTCTCTTTCCCCATCCATGAGGGCAGGGGCCTTTGTCTTGTCTTTTTTCTTGTAGTAATTCTCATATTTAGCCAGAACCTGGCACAGAGATGTTCCATAATTGCCTGTTGATTGAATGAATAAAACAGATAAAGTTCTGCCCTGTAGTGTGGGGAAAGCAAGAGAGTCCTGCAGTTGTGTGTGTGATGACAAGTTGGCGTAAGCGCTATGAAGGAAGTTCACAAGGCTGCGGAGTGCAGGAACCTCGCCTGCAGTGAGGGAGCAAGCAGCTGTGTTAGGGAGGCGGTGCTCGAGCTGGGGTCCGATGGTGAGGAGGGGTGAGGGGGGCCAGGCAGCGAGAAGAGCTGTGCAGGCAGAGGAGACCCGTACGGCCTGGGAAGAGGGAGAGAGGAGAGGGTAGGCTGGAGAAGTGGTGGGAGGACGACCTTATGGGGATATTGGTCTTTCTCCAAGAAGAGCAGAAGGTGACAGGCTGAGGAGGAGCCAGCAAGAGATCGGCTGGCTTTAGACAGGAGGCAAGCCCCTTCCGTAGAGGCTGAGGTTACAGAAGGGGTATGTGCAGGTCTGGGGAGTTGGTGGCGGAGGAGAGAACTCATGGTGTCCTTAGCGGATGGCTTCTGGTTACTTTGTGAGGTAGAAGGCATGGGGGCCTGTGGAGAAAGAAAAGGCCAAGAAGGGACTGTACTCCTTTGGGGCACAGGGCCTTTGGTGACCAGTTGAGATACGTCTTTCTGTATTTGAATCATCGGGTCATTTGAGAGGAGGCCACAGGTGAGAAGTTCATGGTCCATCCAAGGACTCAGATCTCCTTATGCCTCCAAAGCCAGTCAGATTGTCTCATCGTGCTGAGCTGTGACCAGGACTCTGAGTTCTCTGATCATCTTGCTAATCCTTGAACAGTCCTGCAAGGCTTCTGACTGGGAGGTGATGACGTAGGTGGCAGATAAGCAGACACCAATTGGCCAGCTGTTTGGAGCACCATGGGTGGGGGATGGGAGGGGGCATGTTCTCTGCCCCATCCAGGGCCTTGGCCATGTGTCATTCTGCCAGCCTCAGTCCCTGTGGCCACATCCGTGTATCTGAGACTGTGAGCAGGATGGAGGCTAGCTGTGGTTTCCCCGCTCATTGAGTGTGAGCTCTGTCATGGACTCGGGACCTTGAAAGCATGGGTTGAACTACAGCTTCCCCTACCACTGATCTATAGGAGTAATAATAGTGGCCCTTGATTGCTGTTTCTACCCTGTGAACCATTATCTAGCAACCTGTGGCCTGTATGTCCATTTTTGCAAATATGGGAACTGAGGCTCAGAGAAGTGACCTTAGAGGTTACACAGTGAGTGGTGGACTGGCACTGTAACCCTGCTCTTCCCAGAGCTCCACATCCTTCGAGGTTCCTTACCCCTGGTTACCTCAGACAGCACCCCAGCTCATTTCCAGCTGGAGCTGGAGACCACTGCTCCTGCCCTGTGGTGGTGAGGGTCTCAGGAGAGACTGCCTGGGAGCAGGGCCTTGGGGTCACTGTGCGTGTACCTGATATGCACAGGTTGTGTACAGCGTGGGGCTCTGCATCTGTCTGTTCGACATCACTAAGCTGGAGGATGCCTACGTGTTCCCAGGGGATGGCGCATCGCACACCAAAGGTGGGTGCCCTTTCCTCCTGGGGCTTTGGGTTTCTTGGGCCTCGGTTTTTGATGCTGGGAGTCTGGTCTGGGGATTGGGAGACCTGGGGCCTAGTCCTGGCTTGACCAGGAATTGGCTGGGTGGGGATGGGCAGTCTTCCCTTCTCTGGGCCCTCATCCCCTCTAAACAGCGGGAGTTGGACAAGACAATTCCCAAGGCGTCTCCGGCAGACACTGGCTCCGTGTCTGTGCCCACTTTGATCTCCTGTCTGAGGCTCTCCCTGCTCTGCCTGGCTGGCAGGCTGCTCAGTCTGGTTCGGGAGATGGCCAGACAGTTGAAGACCCTTGGAGTGATCGCTGCTGGGTCAAAAGTGTAGAGAGTGGAGGGAGCACAGCTGTCCCTCCTGGGAGGAGGCTGCTTGGGGGTCCTTGTGGGGAACTAGAACACATGGTTAAGTGTGGCCTCTGGGTTCAAATTTGAACTGCCATTTACTCGCTGTGTGTCCTGAGCAGAATATGTAACCTCTCTGTGCCTCTTTCCTCATCTGTAGAATGCAGTTAACATAGATTTTATATTCTAGGACTGTACTGAGGATAACTAAGTTAATATGTGCAGAGCTTTTGGGACAGGACCTTGTTGGGCACATAGTGAGCGCTCAACATCTCATTTATTTGAATCCATTCTCCCGATTCTGCTGGTCAGCTAGGTGGGTTCTTCTGAGTTGCTGGATGGTATAGGGCTGCCTCATGTGTCTGGTGGTTGGCAGACTGGCGCTCGGCTGGGATGGTTCATCTCTGCTCCAGGTGGTCTTATCTTTTAGTGGCTAGAATGGCACCCAAGAGGGCTGGGAGCCCCTGTGCACGAGTGCTTTTCAAGCGTCTGCTTATATCCCATTGGCCAAAGCAGGTCACGTGTGTGGGGAGAGTCTAGGGCTGGAGAAACAGGCCCCACATTTTGATGGGAGGAGCTGAAGTCACATTGCAAAAGTCACCTTGCTCCCCGGATGGAAGGGGTTACCAGACTTGGAGGAACAGAAGAGGGTCACCCTGAGAAGAGCTCTCGGGGGGCCGCTGAGGTGGTTTGGGGCTAGTCAGCATGTAGACACGCAGCTTGCCGTCAGCTAGGCCCTCAGTCACAGTCTCGGGGCAGACTGTTTAACAAGGACCTGGTGATTCTCACACAAGGCCGCATTTGAGGAGCCCTGCCTTAGCCCATATGGTCGGCGTCTAGCATTACGGAATGTGCCATGAGGCTGCCTGTTGTTTGTGTCTAGAAATCCAGATGCTTAGTAAGCTCACGGACGCTCCCCTGCTCTATGGGCGGCCCTAAGAAACAGGCTGCATTTGTAGGGACTAGCCACCCACCAGGGGTCTTGTGGCCTCCTTTTTGTGTTTCAACTGAGATATAACTCACATATCATAAAATCAACCCTTTGAAAGCTTGCATTTCAGTGGGTTTTAATATATCCTCAGAGCTAGACAATCAGAGCTAGACAACTGTCACCACTGTGTAATTCCAGAACACTGTCCTCACCCCAAAAGGAAACCCTGTCCCCATGAGCAGCCATCCCATTCTCCCCCTCCCCCAGCCCTGGCAACCACTAGTCTACTTTCTGTCTGTGGATTTGCCTGTTCTAGACATTTCCTATAAATAGCATCACAGTACCTGGCCTCTGGTGACTGGCTTACTGAGCACAGTGTCCTCAGTTCATCCATGTTGTAGCCTGGGTCGGAGCTTCCTTCCTTTTTAAGGCCGAATCATATTCCGTTGCCCAGATAGAGCTACGTTTTGTTTACTGTTTGTCTGTTAAAGGATGCTTGGGTCGCTCACCATGTGCTTTTGGCTGTGGTGGTTCCAGACTGGAGCTCCCTGGGCCCTGGACCATGTGTCCTGCCCTGGGAAGCCCAGTGCCTAAACTGGGCCTGGCATAGGCCTCCTAGAGGCTCTGGGGATTTATTGAATGTTGGGTCATGTGGGGGACAGGGATTTTCCATCCTGTGGGGAGGTGACCCTTGGCTGCCCTCATCTGCTCTCCACAGTGTCAACATGCGGCCCCATCTTCATGATGGCTCAGCTGGTTTTTGTGTCCCGTCACTGGGGGAAGGGGGAGCCACCTGGCAGGGAGCTGGGGGCCCCATGGCCCCTACTGTCCTTAGGGCAGTGTTGGCAGACCAGGCTGGCAGCAGAAGCCTGTGCTTAATCAGGATCACACCTGTCCGAGGAAGGCAGATTTCACCCTGTGGCCCCTTCTGGTCCAGAAAGATGTGGGGTCTCCTTATGGGAGGACAGAGCCGACTACTGTGTGGCTGTGAGCAGGTCACCCAGCCTCTCTGAACCTCTTCCTTGGCCCCACTGGGGGAGCATGACAGCTGGCACAGGTGGGTCATGGTGGGTACTCTGCCTTGTGGCTATTCTCTGCCCTTGGCGGTGTTCAAGCCACGGGGCAGGAGTGGCGAAGTAGTGGCTTGTGCCAGGCCCTGGGGTCCGAATCTGATGTGGATGCAGACCTTCCTTGCCTGCTGTCTTCCTTGGGGGTCTGGTGAGCGGGGACCTCTGGGGCAGGGCCTGAGACCCACAGAGGCATTTTTGCTGGGTTTTTGGCTCTGCCCCCCCGACCGCCCCCCCTTTTCAGGTCATTTTTAGCCTTTTGTTTGAGGTTGGTGCTCTGCCTTGGGGCGAACTTCACCATCAGCAGCAGA